GGGGGGCGGAAAGAAAAGAGGGCCGCCCGCCACAGGAGCACCTGGGCGGGGAGAGCTGAAGGTGTTGTCCACACTGAAAAGCACATTGCCACTCGAACTACTTCAAGGTCAAATTGTGCCTTTTGATTTAAATGTCATTAAGACACAGAAGTATAATGACGGGATTTAAGCCAAAATGTGTACTTATCTAAGAAAATCCACACCATTAGATCTTGGGGGTGATGTTAAAGTGTCTGGATTGCCCAGCACAAAACTGTCACAAAAAAATTGGAAAAAAAAAAAAAAAAAAAGAGAGAGAAAAATAAAATAAATACATGTCCTGTTTATCTGTAATCTCATATACAAAGACTTGATCAAAGACCAGAGTTCTTTTCTTGATTATTTTTCTCTAGATGTTAGACTCTATTTCTTTACATCTCTGAATATTTGATATCATTATTGTTAATTTATTATTATTTTTGTGAGATACAGTATGTTTATTTTACTATTGTTATAATTAATTATGTCATTATCAATAGTTCATTGAGGGAACCAGCAGTTAGCGTAATGGCTATGTCGCTAGACTACCACGTAGTTGACTGCAGTTCGTGTCCCGGACCCGGTGGCTTAAAACTCACACGGGGCATGTGTGCGTGCGTGCCCAAGATCCCGAGAGGAGAATGGAGGAGAAGGGATTGCAGCGTGGTCATCCCCTCTGGGGGGTGATTTCTCGCTTTCTGTCTCTATGTCTCTCTCTGTCTGTCTGGCAAGCACACGCGCCCTATAGCGAAAACCTCTCCAAAAAAAAAAAGAATAGTTCATTGACAAATTCTCTCATTTTATGTTGACTTCTTGAGAGTTCTTTGAGCTACCGTAGCCCTGTTGCCAAAGGCGTGAGGTGCAAACACCAGGTCTGCATTGTCAGGCAGCTCGGAGTGCACTGGGGGGAGCTGGGTGAAGGCGTCACGTGGTGAAGTAAAAGGCGGACACCTGGGGATGAGCAATGGTTGTCATCTTGCCTCACTGCAGTTCATCTATTTTATTTTAAAATTAGGTCATACTTAATATCCAGCAAGAAATGAGGTTAAATCCTTTTCATTCTCTTTAAAATATCATTTTAATGATTTTTTACCTTGTTTTTAAACTTATCTTTAAGAAATTTTGAATCGCTGAATTGAATAGCTTTATCATGTCTATAATAGTTACTGGATGTTTCTAAAAACAGACTAAGGCTGATGTGGTTTCTCAGAAAATGAATTATTCATCTGTTCTTGAAACATACATGACAATGCCTTCCATACAAAAATATGGCTTAAATTTGGTCTCTGGTTATTTCATTTCCAAAATAATAAAAATTACCTAGCATCTTTAACTGGAGCTGTGGCCGCGACACAAATACTAGCAAACAGTCTAACAGTAAGGATTTCTTGGGTGAAGAGCAAGGCCCATTGGCAAGGACCAAAGGTGAGAGTCTGTGTCAGAAGATGAAGACATCCAGCAAGGTCAGGGAAAATAAGTGACATTTTGTCCCATCATTCGGTTCTGGAGTGAATGGGACAAAAACTGAAAAAGCCACAAGATGAGAGAAGGACCTGCACCAAGTCCACCTAACCTAAGAACAGAGAGACCCATGGGAAGCCATTACTCCCCTGTGACAGGGCAGAAAAACAAAACAGTTGGTTTCCAGGTTTTCTGACAGCATGACTGAACAGATGAACTCAGGCAAGAAGTTGTCTTCAGATTTTTGTGATGTAATTAAAAAAAAATCCTGTTTTTTATCTTTTATAAGCCATTAGTTATTAGGATTTATTTTTCTTACACCAACCAAATGATTTCCTATCTGATAAATCAGCTACAAGCACGTGAGCCCATCTGCCTTTATGTACGATTCATTCTATCTTTTGATATAAAATAAGGGCCTTCCATCTTCTAGAACACACTTGAAAAAAGGGAATACTATACTTTGGAGGTGCTGAGGTGCTACTGTTCATTCTAAAATAGACTAGGTACAAAAAAAGCACACTTTCCACTACATCAGTTCACGTAAAATACTGTCAAATTCATTTTTTGCAGAAATAGAGAAACAACCTAGAACTCTGTATGTGGACTGTCAAGGGGCCTTGGATAACTGAGCCAAACTTGTGACAAAGCTGGAGGACTTGTACTTCCTTATTTTAAAATTTGCTACAAAGCAATAGTAACCGAGACAGTGTAATAAGGCATAAAGACAGATATAATGAGCAATGCTCTAGAATGAAGAGTCTAGAAACAAATCCTTACATATATGGTCAAATGATTTCAACAAGGGTACAAAGACCATTCTATGGAGAAAGGAGCATCTTTTCAAGAAATGGCATGGGGAAAATGAATATTCACATGTAGAAGAATGAAGCTGGACCTCTCGTGTAACACCATATACAAAGTTTAACTCAAAATGGATCCAAGAGCTAAAAGGAGACCTAAATCTATAAAATTCTCAGAAGTAAACACAGTGAAAATACTTCTACCACATTGGGGTTGACAGTAATTTCTCAGATGACACCAAGGGCCCAGGCAAAAGCAACAAACAAACTGGACTACATCAAAACATTTTTTTTAATTGTGTATCAAAAGAAAGTATCAATGGAGTAAAAGGCAACCCAGAGAATGGGAGAAACCATTTGCAAATCATAGATATGATGAATTAATATCCACAATGTATAGACAGTCACTAAAACTCAATAACAAAGAACAAAATTAAAACATGGGCAAAAGGCTAGAGCAGGCATTTCTCCAAAGAAGATACACAAATTGCCAAGGAGCACACGAACAGAATGGTGAGGATGCTCAACATTACTAATAATTAAGGAAATGCAAATCAAAACTACAAGGTATACTTTACACCCATTAGGATGGCTATAATCAAAACAACAAACAAACAAACAGAAAATAGCAAATGTTGGCAAGGATATGTAGAAACTGGAACCCTTGCCCCAGCAGGTTGAAAAACACTCTGGACGTGTGTGTGTGCATGTGCACATGCACACGTGAGTGTACCTCAAATCCCAACGAGATAAAGAAATGAAAAAGAGAATGGAGCGGGAACCAGCAGTTAGCGTAATGGCTATGTTGCTGGACTCCCACGTAGTCGACCTCAGTTCGCGTCCCGGACCCGGTGACTTAAAACTCACGCTGGGCGCGTGTGCATGCGTGCACAAGATCCCAAGAGGAGAATGGAGGAGATGGGATTGCGGCGTGACCATCCCCTCTGGGGGGTGATTTCTCACTTTCTGTCTCTATGTCTCTGTCTGTCTGTCTGGCGAGCACACGCGCCCTATAGCGAAAACCTCTCCAAAAAAAAAAAAAGCGATTGGAGCATGACCACACCCCATTGAGGGATGATATCTCCTCCAAATCCCCTGACTCTCTCTGATAAGCGTATTGACCTCTGGCAATCAAAAAATAAATACATAAATAAAATTTAGGGAATAGCAGTTGGCATAATGGCTATATCACTGGACTCCCACGTAGTCAACTGTGGTTCAAGTCATGGATCTGGTGGCTTAAACTCACGCCAGGTACGTGTGCATGTGTGCTCGAGATCCCAAGAGAAGAATGGATAAGAAGGGATTGTGGAGTGGCCATCCCCCCTGGGGGGTGATTTCTCACTTTCTGTCTCTTTCTGGTGAGCACACACACCTTAGAGCAAAAATGTCTCCAAAAAAAAAAAAAAGGAAATGGTTAAAATAGTAAATATTATGTGCATTTACAATAATTTTTAAAAATGGAAGAAAAAAGACAATTTTTTAAAAATGCCAGGACACCATCCCCCCTGGGGGGGGGTGGTTTCTCGCTTTCTGTCTCTCTGTCTCTCTCTGTCTTTCAGGTGAGCGCGCACGCCCTATAGCGAAAACCTCT